GGATGTTTATACAGAAAATAAGACAGACATGCTGGTTAAGGAAACAATTATTTGTGGTTTGAACTATGTGCTCAGTGCAGTAGATAAAGTGAAGGACTGTGGGGCTTGATCACGCCCTGACATCTCAGCCACACTTAATGATAACTGCTGTGGATATGGAGGCATAGTATTTTTACTACAGATTTGCAACAGATATCTGATATGAGGCTTTCACTTCCTTTCCCTGGGGTGGCTAACTAGCTTTCTTTCATAAGAGTTCAAACTGTAGCTTTAGTGTCTGGGTTTACTAATGCATGAACTGAATTTCACTGATTCCAATTTAGGCCTCACCCTCTTTTGCCTTTGAACGACACTGAGGAAAGAAATCATTAAACAATATATTAAAGGAACAGTTAATGCAGTTTCAAGCTGCTCAGTTTTACAATTATATAGTGACCAAAAACAGTCCAAAAACAACAAAAACACAAGTCTTCTGAAGCCATATTATAGCTTCATGGGATGAACAGATTTCATTATTATCAAAAAGTAATTATTCAATGAAAATCTTCCTTTTTATTCCAAGTCTAAGTACTGTAATATCAAATACGGCATGTTTAGGGGAAAAAATAACTGCCAATAGTTTTAGGATGACATGAAGGTGAGTAAATAATGACGGAACATTAACTTTTACTATTTTTCCTTGTTATACGGTAAGGTCACATGAAGGATAAAGTGTAGATAAAAGAAAACAGGGTCTGTAAACAGCTATAAGAACATTTATTTGCTTGTGGTTGTGAATTGGAAAGGAACATTAGATGCACAAACACATTTATGAGTAGTTCATACACAGGATATGTATGCTTTGTAATTCTAAGAAAACAATCTGGATCTTTGATCTCAAGTAATTTCTATCCAACCCTCTCTATTTTTCTCTTCCAGGTATTTCCCTGCGACTTAAGCTGGCACCATGCCACAGGATGTCAAGACCGATGTTCCCAAAGTCCTCAACAAAACCACACCAGGACTTCAGATATGGAGAGTGGAGGTAATGATACTTCTTTGTCAAATCAGTGCAGTCGACATTTGAGATACTGACACTTAGCAAATCACTAATCATTCTTCTTTTTAAATTATTGGTCAGAACATGGAGCTCGTGCCCTGTCCATCTAATACATACGGGCAGTTTTTTGAGGGAGACAGCTACGTAATACTCTATGTAAGTATCAGCGCTTAGTGTCCTAATCAACTCATTTAAGCTGACAAAAACTAACCGCTAAAGAAAGACCATCTCATTTTCAGACTCACAAGACCAGCAACAACTACACCTATGACATCCATTATTGGCTGGGCAAGGCCACCTCCAATGATGAGCAGGGAGCAGCAGCGATATACACCACGCAGATTGATGAACACCTAGGGGGTGCTGCTGTGCAGCACCGAGAGACCCAGGGTCACGAGAGCGCCACCTTCCAAGGATACTTCAAACAGGGCATCATGTAAGCCATCCTGACTGAATGAATCTAACCAACACATGTAAAGAACACACTTCACCCCAAAATAATAATACTAATATATTAGAATTTAAAAAAACAATAATAATAAAATAAAACAGATTTTATATGTTGGTTAAAGAATAATATTTTAGTACCATTAGAATTCTTTGCTAATAAATAAAAATAAACAAAATTTTGCATAAAGAAATGAAGCCTACCTAAAGATATTAGGTTTAA